TCAGTCAATATTTGTTTTATGTACCTCGTACATAGATTTTACAAGACCTAAAAGAGTAATGAAAATAGTACACATCAAGTAGGCCTAAAAAAAAAGTACTATCATTTAGGGTGATAGTACTTTCTATTGCCTGCTTCTTAACCAATCAGATGAGTAGAATCTATGTATGCAGTATATATAATGTGAAATAATGCAATAATATATTGTGTATTTTTAAGATATTCTACACAACTTATTACTAATAGCTGTCTGCAAATGGGTTGAGACTGAACACATTTTCTAATTTAGTTGCTATTTGCTGTGATATATTTCTTCTTATTTTATTGATTAATAGCTACAGTTAAGCTGGCTCAATCAGCTAAACCGGTGGTAGCCACAGTGTGTGCGCTGAATCGTGGAGATCTTTTGGTCCCCGATTGAATTCCGTTGCTCTCCTTGTGTTTCAGTTGGAGGACTGAAATGCAAGTTTCAAAAAAAGTACACTGTCTTTTAGATAAGACAATTAAGCAATTGGTCCTGTGTGCAAAATGGCCCATGTGCACGTTAAAGAATACAGTACACTCTTTGGAAAGAAGTGGATTGTCTCTCTACCTCCAGAAGGGGGGGGGGATATAGCCCTCAGCCCCCTCTGGTGTCACCACTGGTGTATCACACCAAAGATCAATCCAAGGTTAAAAATCTAGGCTTAAACCTAAGGAAAAATATTATATAAGGTACGTTTATTCTAATGGGCTGGATAACTTGCACTTGTACACTTGTCGGACAGAAATGGCCTGTAGGATGCCAGTTGAGAACTCCATGCTAATGGTTGTGTTTTGATATTTTAAGTTTATTCTCATTTTGAAGAATAATGCATATGCTAATCTTGATGTTACTGTTCTTTTTATCATAATTATAGTTCATTAATATCAGTCATTGCTTTTATCTGTATCAGTATCAGTTATTGGTAAACATCTGTATACAATACTATAGGGCATTTGTCTGTCTGATGCTGCTTCCAAACTGTAGATATTTTGCTATAAAATTGCAATGTTATCGTCTCAGTTATGGATTAATAATCGATGGCAAGCGTTTGAAAATGCAAAACAAGCTTAGTGTGCCATCAACAGACCGCGTACACATTCCATGAAGGATACTAAGGACACTATCAAGAATTTTACGACAAATTTTGTCCGGATTGCTAATCCATCGATGTGAAAAAACAGATTCTTAAATGGGTGTGTGTATGGCTTTATAAAGAGACACAAGGCAATTTGCTGTGCGTTGAAATGAGGCAAGATTCTTCAAGATGAGATTCTCATTATTGGCACATATCACCCACGCTTTCATTAGACGTTTATCAATTTCTTAATAAGTAAATTTAGAAATTTAAAATAATGACACATGTTAAAATGTTAGAAAAAGGTGAAATGATTTGATGAATAGAAGCAGAGTATATGTATTCATTGAGGAGTGATGCTGTAGCATGATGGTTGAGGTGCTTGCCTTCCATTTTAGATGTCATGTGTTCAAATCCAGCATTATACAACATAACTTTGAACTTTGAAAAAATGATTTTGTCGGTAAAAATTTAGAAACCCAATGAAGTTGCTCATCAAATGGGTGTCATTATCGGCAACAGTATCATTACACAACCTACGTAATCTAAAAACATAAACACTACTACGGATATTTACTTTATTAAAAAAAACAAGTGTAAAAAAAAAACAAAAAAAAAAACAGTGATAGCATGAGTAGACATACAGGAGTTATTATATTGAAAATAACAGCTAAACAATTATGAATGCTTTGTATATGTGACGCCTGATGTTTAAAAATTGAATTAAATGTTATGAAGCAAAATTCTTTTTTTTGTAGCTAAGGCTCATATAAGTTATTTTCACAGTATGGTATATGTAATGTATGCACGTATGGTATGACAAAAAATCGCTAAAACATCCTCAAATTTCTTTGGGAGTTACGGTAACTAAAGTACTAGAAATGATACTTTGACCTACGGGACGTACAGTACATTCCAAAATACTTGCGAAAAAAAATCTTGTAAGTGATTCAGGTGGAAATCAAGCCCACAACCTCCAGACAACTAGCCTGGTGTCTACCACTAGACCAGCGAGCTTGCTCTTAGTAAATCTAATCCGCAAGCAGCAATGGGTATTTATATGCTACTCTGAGGGTGTTAGGGTCAGGAGATTAAATAGGAATGATGGTTTAAAATACTGTTGTTCACAAAATAAGTTACATAGCATATTACTCATATGCTGTAACATGCTCTACAAAACTTAATGGAATGATAGTAAATAAATACTGTACAGTATATTTAACATGAAGGCTAAAATAACTGTTTACAGGTTTCAATAGAAATTGAAACAGCGGTGTCATCACACGTCTTCACTAAGAAGGTACATAAAAAATTGTTTGCTTGAAATGCATTAAGACATTGAGGTAGGTTGTGAGGTGCTATGGAAATTTTTCAAACAGAATACAGCATCAGAAAATTCTTGCTAATCAAGTATCAAATAGCATCTAACATGGAATGTCACATGTTAATGTGTGTTTTTATGGTTTTATCTGCCCAAACTAATTTGTTTATGCTGGCTCAACTGACTCAATTGAAATTGTATTATGAGTGGTTGATGCTGGATTCAATTATGTCTATTTAACAGATTACCGTTTCAAGATTCTAATGGTACTCGTGGTATTTAATTTCTTTGACTGGAAATAAGCCTATAAGCAGCATTTCTATATCTACTATAAATATAGTATATATCTTCATTCACTTTTATTTCAGAGTAAATCCATAGAAACTATACACAATCATAAAAATATCAATATATTATTTTTGCAGTTTTTAAAAATATTATGTTGAGTACACAAGGATGGTTACAAACATATCATGGATTAAAGAAAAATTTAAAAAAATATTTTTTTATATTACATATAACAGTATGTGATATGAGCTACAGTAACAGCTCATTCCACTATGTTCAATAATTAATACAGGACTACCTTTACCTTACCTAACAGTATGTAGCAAACAGAACCTTCAGAAAGAGAAATCTGATCTCATTTATCATGCTTTTCATGGGTAATGCAATATTATAAACGTACCGATAGTTAATAG